CCTTTAATGGGTCTCTAACCTTCTACACCACCCCCAACCTCCCAACCGAAATGAGCGCAGCTGATATGCTCCACTTAATGAAAGAGGGAGCTGTTAATGTACATCTGCAACAAACCTCACCAAATTCCTTTTGAAAATGCACTATCTTACCTTGTGACGAATCTGAACTGTTCCAACCTCAGAATGCAACTATTCCACATGTCCAAGAGAGACTTCAAAAGACTCAAGAGTGGCTCCATCACCAGCGAAGTGTAGCAAAACACACAACACACTTTCGAAACACAATGTGAGCCTCCCGACACCTGACGTCCAAACCAACTCTTCACCTCAGCCTGAAGCATATCATCCAGCGAGCACATTCTGCAGTCTGCTCTCTCCTCTATATCCTCAACATGCCCTCTTTACACTGCCTCGCAGTGCCACGCAGCTGGGTTTAGCCCTAGCTATTTCATCTACAACTCAAGACCTTCCTCTCATCGACTATTCTTCATCTGTCCACACTTCCCCATTCACCTACCGGAGTCCCAACAGAAGAGCCTGCTATGTGTGTTCTCTATGTCTGTCCCACGATCGACTTAGCTGCTGGGTTAAGCCCTGGCTCTATTTCTACAACTGAGAACACACCTCTCCAGCGCTATTCTTCGTCTGTCCCGTCCTCCCCGCTCATCCCATTTGGGATCTTACCTGAACTTTCGTTCGTTCGTTCGTACTTCTGGTTAGTGTGACTTTGTAAATGGTCCAAGTCTGACCGAAACGTCGTCGTAAGCTTCTCTCTTTTATGTGCGGGTTATTTGTGTATCGCTCCAGTCACGGTATTGTGCCTTTTTTGTTATTTAGGAGAGTTTTTTTGTTATTAATGTGAATGTTGCAGTTGAGATCACCAGAGTGTTTTATATATGTTTGATTGATTGTACACAAGAGTTTAGCCACATCCCAAAGGACTCAGAACAATGAAAGAAACTGTTACACATTATCCCCGTAACCAAAGACCTGTAATAAAGTTGGTAGAATTACCGACAATATGTAAAGTAAAAGGACACAAGTGCAACTAATGTGACATTTATTGTGGCAACGTTTCGCTCTCCAGGAGCTTTATCAAGCCATTACAAACAATACATGGACACAGAGGGTATATAAAGGCTCAGAGTGAGGTGAATACTAGTGAGGTACCATTTCGATGTTCACTAGTGGTAGTAGTAGTAGTAGTAGTGGTAGTGACAAAAGTAATACAATATGGTAGAGCAATTAATTCGTACATGAGTAAAAGGATATAAAAGCTATTACTTGGGTAACATAAAAATAGGTTGGACAAATATAAACTGGAATGAGGCAGGTTGTTTCAGTGTTCACTCTCTGTGCTTTGTGTAGTATAACAGGAGAGACTATGTGATGGCAGGGTTTACTGTTTTCAGGAGGATTCTTGCTAAGACTTCGGAGATGGTGAAGCTGCCGTTGTTTTGTTTAATTGTATTCGAAACAGCGATCAGTGCTGATTCAAGGCACTTGCGTGTGCGGAAATTAGTTTCTTTTATCACTAATTGGGCGTCTCTGAATTTCATAAGATGATTGGTGGAATTTCGGTGTTGTACACAGGCGTTGTTTAAGTTGTCGTTCCTACATGCGTATATGTGTTCACTGAGGCGGGTGTCGAGGTTTCTTGCTGTTTCACCTACGTAGATCTTGTCACAGCCTCCACAGGGTATAGTGTAAACTCCTGCATTGACTGGTTCGTGGTGCTTGGGTTTTGTCCTGGTTAGATCCTTTATTGAAGTGGTAGAAGCGATGGCGACTCTGGTGTTAGCTTGTGAAAGTACTTTTGAGACGTTTAGTGCAACCTGGCTGTTGGGAAGAATTATAACTTTGTTGGGAGCGGTGTTGATGCGTGGAGAATTGATGATCTGAAGAGCATACCGAATTTGTAGTCCTGAGTTTCTTGACGAGGAATGTACTTACATTCACCAAACATTCACTGAGTTACAATTTCCTTCTTTTTTTCATCAAAGACTGCAAGAAAAGAGCTCTTCAGATCATCAATTCTCCACGCATCAACACCGCTCCCAACAAAGTTATAATTCTTCCCAACAGCCAGGTTGCACTAAACGTCTCAAAAGTACTTTCACAAGCTAACACCAGAGTCGCCATCGCTTCTACCACTTCAATAAAGGATCTAACCAGGACAAAACCCAAGCACCACGAACCAGTCAATGCAGGAGTTTACACTATACCCTGTGGAGGCTGTGACAAGATCTACGTAGGTGAAACAGCAAGAAACCTCGACACCCGCCTCAGTGAACACATATACGCATGTAGGAACGACAACTTAAACAACGCCTGTGTACAACACCGAAATTCCACCAATCATCTTATGAAATTCAGAGACGCCCAATTAGTGATAAAAGAAACTAATTTCCGCACACGCAAGTGCCTTGAATCAGCACTGATCGCTGTTTCGAATACAATTAAACAAAACAACGGCAGCTTCACCATCTCCGAAGTCTTAGCAAGAATCCTCCTGAAAACAGTAAACCCTGCCATCACATAGTCTCTCCTGTTATACTACACAAAGCACAGAGAGTGAACACTGAAACAACCTGCCTCATTCCAGTTTATATTTGTCCAACCTATTTTTATGTTACCCAAGTAATAGCTTTTATATCCTTTTACTCATGTACGAATTAATTGCTCTACCATATTGTATTACTTTTGTCACTACCACTACTACTACTACTACTACCACTAGTGAACATCGAAATGGTACCTCACTAGTATTCACCTCACTCTGAGCCTTTATATACCCTCTGTGTCCATGTATTGTTTGTAATGGCTTGATAAAGCTCCTGGAGAGCGAAACGTTGCCACAATAAATGTCACATTAGTTGCACTTGTGTCCTTTTACAACCCAAGACCTCCCAGAATGTATGGACTACAGAATAACAGGAGTTCCGTTGACTAGATGGTGCCACCCATCAACTAGCAGGCCTTTTAACATGGCACCTAGCTAAAATCTTGAGAACACTCACTCGAAAACATCGACAAAATTCTGATGATTTTCTCATTCACAGCTGCAGTATTTACTTTCCAGGCTAGAAGTGACATCCATATTCCCTAAGGTACCCGAAGTACAAGTCATCAATCCCCTTCGCCAAAAAAAAAAAAAAAAAATGACGACTTCTCTACATTTCTGCTCCAGAAAGCCATTTCATATACTTCGTTGAACTGTGATGGTTTTACCTGTATCTTTTTTTATTTTTTTTTTTCAACAGACTTTTTACCAGCCTATGTATCCCACTTAATGCTGCACTGGTGAACCTATGCATATAACATCTCCAAGTCAAGTAGCTTTCCTTTACTTCCTCCTCGGTCACCTGGCTCAGTTGTCCCTGCACTACGCCTCAGTTCCTATTCTTCCCTCACTCCAATTCACGCTCGTAGATGAAGTCGACGGCAGCCTTCCTTTGCACAATGATCTGCTCTGAAAAACTGGCCTTGAGTTTCATTTTAAAGTCTACTGTAATTCCACCAACCAACACGGTCTTCTTCATTTCTGCTCAATCCATTATACCTAGACTAAACGTGGTGTCATTGGCCTCCTCCTGCATGCCCTCCATATCTGCAGAAATGAATTCTTTGAAGAATGCTCTCTCGTAGAAAAAGTGTTTTGTAACCTTTGCCATCGTAGTCATTTCATAAAGGAATGCAGACATCGTGCACAAAACATCTTCAACCTACCTAGGAGACACCACCAATAGAAAATACATAGTCTTCCCTAACTATTCCATTGACAAACACGTCTCCAATATTTCCTACGCCAAATCAAGGACCTGACCAGCAAGGCACACTACCAACTATTTCAATTTCAATACAGAGGTATATACAATCCCTTGCAATGATTATGACAAAATGTCATTGCGAAGTTTCCAAATATCTCAACAAAGCATTTCAGAACACTAACTTAAAGTCCACTGTGTGGGAGAAACATTACTAATAAAGGATATCATTATGCTGCATTTTTCTAACCTGCCGAAGTGTTGGGCGTGAGCCCGCTCGTAGTCCGTAGCTCAGATATCATACATTTCTCAAAAAACTGTTTACCAACTAATACTAGCAATTATCAAAAAAGCAAGAAATTGTCTTACAACGGGGGTCTGAGAGAGACAAATATTCACAGTACTTCGTGAAAGCCTCGTTGGTCACCAGGCAGTAATTTGAAGACAGAATGGTCACTGAGCTGGTAGCACCCTAGAAATGTTGATTGTCCACTGTCTTCTTCCAAAAGAATGAGGTAGAGCTTTACATGCCTGTAGTGTACCTCGCTTGTACAAAGGGATGATAGTTATCTCAATATACTTAATCTTATTACTTAATTTAAAGTATTATTAAAGTTTAAGGCAACATTATTAATGCTAATATTATTTACTAACAATTTAAACCTACTTTAATCATCCTTTTGCAACTACCCAATGTTGTTGTCGGGTGGAAGGATGTGTTAAAGGTTACCGCGACTGCAGCTTCAATTTATTTAAAAAAGAAACCGGTCGTGGAATTTTTGGTCTCAGTAAATTTCCACAGTGAACCTCTAAGGTACAGACACATTCAACAAGCGTCAAAACACCGAGGTAAGATGTTTTGAGCACTTTCACTGATAAAAGCCCTGGACGGATTGTTATTTTTGAGGGAAGAAGAATAATGACAAATTTAAGGCAATCCTGGCGACTCATTTACTTCCTGATGGAGAAGGTATTTTCCAGCAGTATCTTGCTCCCAGCTACACTTTCAAAAAATGCTGACATTCTTCGAAAAGCGGGCTAACCGTTCTAAATTGACCTGGAGACTCTCCTGACCTCAACCCAACATGTCTTTTTAAACCATATTGACCCATTTGTTAGTGACTTGATAAAGTCCTCTGTGTAGGAGAAACATTATTAATAAAGGATAACATTATGCTGAATTTGTCTCTTTTCAATCGTGTAGGTATTTTATATTATATATCACTCTCTCAGAATGATGTCGATGACAGAGGCTGGGTTGTTCTTCCAGTGGTTGATAGCTGAAGAACCCAACTCCACTGTGTGTGATCATGTTCCCACTAAGATCACTGTCAATGAAGCACTCTCTCTCAGTAATCTTTGGGTAATTAAACAAAAATTTCGGCACATTTGAAAAAGTTAGTAACTGAATAAATATAAAACAATAAAAAAAATTGAAGTAAATATTTTGGATTTACAGACCGAAATGCACAACTGGTTCTCGTTTTCATATTAATCAGAGTTTACGACATTGGCAAAAATTTTTGTTGTTGTTAAGAAAATAATATACATTAGATTCTGTCGGTTTATATACTTCAATATAAATAATTTCTTCTGTATTTCAGGGAATGTTTGTTATCTTCCTGGTGGGTCATCTTACCAGTCTGTCTGTATTCTGCCTCGAGCTTCTCATTCTTTGCATTCAACAAATTTAG